TCTCTCTCTCTCTCTCTCTCTCTCTCTCTCTCTCTGTGTGTGTGTGTATGTGTGTGTGTGTGTGTGTGTGTGTGTGTATGTGTGCACATTGATTCCAAGGAACTAGGAGAAGTTCAGTTTTGGTGAACTGTAAAATTTAAGTTCCTTACCAGAAACTCAGACGGTTTGTTTGACAGTGTCTCATGTAGCCCAGGCTGGCCTTGAATTTATTATGTAGCTGAGGTCCATCACAAACTTCTGATCCTCCTGTCTCCACTGCCAAAGTGCTCAGATTATGGGCATGTATTACCCAGTTTATGTGGTGCTGGGGATGGACCCTGGGTTTATGCATACAGGGCAAGCACTCTACAAACTAAGCTACAATCACAGGCCAAGCCATTGATCTTCCAGTTAGCAGTATACCTCAACATCCAACTGAGCCACAGACACCGGCAATATGTATTTTTTATTTTGACAATTAAGATGTAAGGGCCAGGCAGGGTAGAGCAAAGGTCTTAAATAGCCCTCAGCTGTATAGGGGTTGAGAAAACAGTTGAATGAGGATAGACAAGGTGTCTAAAGCAAGCAGGGGTTACGATAAATCTTTCTGCCAAAGCCTCGGAGCCCCACCACCACGTGTGCACTCTACGCCAGCTGCCCGCCCAAGTTAGGACCCAAATAATGCACAGAGAGACTTGTATTAGGTTCAAATGCTGCTTGGCCAATGACTAGGATCCACATCTGTTAGTTCAGTCTCAATGATCATAAATCTATATATTTTATAAGACTTATCTTATCGGACACCTTATTGGTGTCCCTCCTTGCCGGTGGATCACATTGCGCTGCTGGAGAAAGAGTGGAGGGGAAAAGGGGACTCCTTCCTCTTTCCTTCACTTAAATATGAGTCTCCTTGCTATGTCACTTCCTGCCTGGATCTCCACTTCTCTACTACATTTCCCAGAATCCTCTTTGACTCCTAGTCCTGTCTAACTTGCTGTCTCATTGGCCAAACAGCATTTTATTTAACAATCAATAAGATAAACATACACAGAAGTACTTCCCCTATCAAGTAGGGACAGGAGAAAAGTGTGAAAACAAATGGATGAGATCTTCAGGATGTAAATGTGGAAGACCTGATTCTTGACTGGATGTGGGTGGAAATGGGATTGGAGAAGAAAGAAATCATTCTAGTAAGATGAGCGTAGCAAGCTCTGGAGCTCAGAGAGCCTATGGGGAAGAATGGACCCACAAGGCAGATCCTCAGTTCCCTTAGCCCTCCTTTTCTTCCCCTAATCAGAGTTTTTCTTCTTCAACATGAAGAATGCATGCTGCCTTACACAATTCTCCCTTGTTTTGTTTTTGGTCGTTTGTGGTGGTAAGGGTAGAAACCAGGGCAGCTCACAGAATGGGCACTATACCCATTCTTCACCTGACATTACTTTGACCACTGGATATAGATTACTTAAATTATGTAGATAAAACTATAATTAAGCCAACTTTCAAGATGTTGCTTTATTTTGAAAACACAAGAAGCACACAGATTAGTAACATACCTAACAAACATGGATGTAAATTGTCACGAAGAACTCATCAGTGGGTGGGACCAAGGTCAGAATTGACAAGGGAGAATTTCTTTTGGCACAAGCAATGGAAGCTGGCAGGGACTTCCGAACCTAAGACCTCTAACTACTGCTGGAAAGCACTCTGAAGGAGAACACCAACCTTAGACTCCCCCCATCCCACCCCTCCTTTAATTCACTCAGCTAAAATTCATCCCCTGCTGCTCACACAACCATCCCTACAGCCAGGGCAGAAGTGTTAGCGAGTGGAGCCACAGTCACTTTTTAAAGACCAGGAGACACACTACGACTGTCACAACTGGAGAGAATGGACCACTTTGTGAGATTCATTTTGAAAATGGAATATCAGAATATGTCATCTTCTCGGTTGTAATACATGTCTGACTCTACAACCCCCAAACCTGTACAGGGGTTATTCTTGTTCATCCGGGCTACATTGCTTTCACTCTTCTTCCTTTTGAGTGGCTCTCCTTCCTGCATGTAGGACCTCAACAAAGCAGGGGAGCTCACATCTGGGAGGCCTTTTGCAAATGGAGCCTCCACCCTTCCTGGTTCAGCTGCATCCGAAGGCTTAGTGGTGAGAAGTCGGTCACTCCGTAGCCGTTTTCTTATTTCTTCTTTTTTTGTCTGAAACGTATTATTAAAGAACGAAAAAGAAGCCTGGTGATTTTATTTTTCTCACATTCTCTTTCATGCTGTGTGTCACAATCACTTTCACTTTTTGATTCAACTACTAAGTCTTGGAACAGATGTTGGAGAACCCATATTGAAAGAGAAAAACTACAGGGTCTGCTCTCACAGAGATACAGTCTAGTCTTTGATCCCAAGGCTACCAAATATGGAGGCAAAATGAAGGAGACTAGACTAACGCTGTATCCTGGAGGGATGACAGGCTTTGGGTTGTGGGCTCTGCTCCTTAAAACTGCAGGAGCTGATCTGACGGTCGGTCGTCAGAACCCACGCTCTCTCAGCTCAGTACCCACCCCTACCTAGGTTGTCCTCCTCCCTCTGACCCCGATGGAAATTTCCACCAAACTTGACTTAATTCAGAGAACTGAACAGTATTCATTTAGGTTGCAGAGATGAAACCACACATTTCAATTGAGTTCATGGGGCTGCTTCATTCCTGCCCAACACAAAAAGAATGTTCAAGAACAAACCCAGTGCAGAGCACAGGAAGCGCACAGGCCATTGGGATGCAGCGCGTCAATGCGCACACTTTGTCTTAAGGCTGCCGATAGGCAAGGTCTGGCAGCACTGGTTCGGGCAGGCAGTCAGCTCCTCAGACTTGCATCCACAGCCAGCCCTTACCTTTCGGCGCTCCTCCGCCGCCTGCATCTTTTCCTCTATGTCTTGGATTGTGAAATCCTTTACCTCTGTCTTCACCTTAAGCTTTTTCAATCTGGCTGGTGGCTTTCTCAGTGGCTTTTCAGTAGCGTCCACCTGGAGGAAGACATTTTGCTTTTAACGGCGATTATTAACTTGGCCTAGGAGATGAACGGGTGAGAAAAACAGTTTAAAAATGTAAATTTCAAAGTCTAAATTTTTTAGTGGCACATGAATGCAACAGAAATGTGGAATCTGTTAATAGAATTATTGTGTGTGTGTGTTGTGTGTTGTGTGTTGTGTGTGTGTGTGCACCCAAGTCTAGCTTAAGGTAAGAAACTCAGTTTAACTTTAGTTAATTGACCTATAATCGTCAATGACAGCAATTGATTTCATAATATTCTGTGTGTTATCAATTATTTTCACTTGGATAGAAATTAGCTTTTATTACTTTTTGATCTTATGATGGAGAGAGATTATTAATTGTTATCGAGCAATGACTCTATGCTAGGCTTTGCTATTGGTATTTGACAAATGTTTTCATGACAACAGTAAGAGTTTCCCATTTTTATGAATGACTACTCTTTCAGGGGTTCAGAAAAGTGATAATGACTTTCTAGTTCCTCATGTAGTTACAAAAAGTAAAATTATAATAAAGGACTATGAAGTTTTATCTTTCATTCTCTTCCAAAAATACAGTTTTATAGCATGCATTTTAAAATGGCAAATTAAAACAATACACAAATATCCTCCTAACCCTCTACTTAATCACTCTAACAATAGCCCTCAATAGGAACCTATTTTAAAAATATCTTCCTGCCCCCCCACTCCCGTGTGTGTGTGTGTGTGTGTGTGTGTGTGTGTTCATGCATGTGTTGGTATAAGTATGCACATACTATGGTACACAAATGAAGGACTGAGGAGGACAACCTCAGATGGCCAGCCTTGCTTGCCTTCCACCTTGCTTGAGACAGGATCCCTTGCTCCTTACTGCATATGCAGGATAGCTGGGCCAGGAGATTCAGGGAACCTGCCTGTCTCCACCTTCCACCTAGGAAGAGCTTCCATTTAGGAAAGCTGGGGTTTTATGGACGTGTGTGACCACATGCTCCTTTATGTGGGCTCTGGAGGGCCAAACTCAGGTCCTCAGGGATTGTTTTTCCAACTAAGCATCTCCCCACCCCCTCAACAGTAGCCTTGTAAAGAGCTCATTGTGCCTTTACAGATATTCTTTGTAATGCACGTCCATATGCATGTATGTATTTGTATGTAGGTACACATACATACATGCAAGGCATCTGAAATTCTAAATAATATCTAAATATGATTGTACCATACACACTGACCATGTTTACATCTTTCATTTAATATGGGCATCTGTCTAGGTCAGCATACATAGATATATTATGACTGGGGGAAGTTTTTAATGAACTCCAAGTCTTCATATAAAATGAACCAACATATTGTTCTGGGTAATCTCTCTAGAGATTGCTCTTTAAAGACAATGAAGCTATCAATATTTATAATTTCCTAAATACTGACTCTTCAGAATAAGAAAAATAAATCAGGCAGACAAAGAGAGGCCATTTAACACAGTAGAGGAAGGCCAATGATGGGCCCCAGGCCTGCCTTCCGATCTTGAAAGTGACTTTCCACTAGCTGTTCGTACCGTCTGTGAGCTTGATGTCCTCATCAGCGACACGGAATTAATGATCCTTACTTCACAGGATCTGGTTTCCTTCTTGTTTGTTTTAAAGGGAGGAGGAAACCCACAATGCTCACTTAGGAAAGCCAGCTACTTTTCAGTGAGACCAGGGCCTGCCTTCAGGGGTAACACATATTGTCACAGTTACCCGCAGAATTATCACAATAGTGTGTGCAGACAGCAAGGGTGCCCAGAGCAGATGACAAACTGGAGAGGAAGTGATGAAGTGGTGGGCTCCGTTATTAATAGCTACTGTGTGTCTGAGGTGAACAGTTCTTTTGGAACATAGTTCTCTTAACTATATAGTGATGGTGGGACAGAGGACTGCTGTTTCTATCTTCAAGATCTAGGATCCTCAGAAAGTCTTAAAGGCTTTTTCATTTCATCAGGGGTGCTTTGCTGACATGTATATTTGTGTACTGTGTGCATGCATGCTGTACCCAAAAAGACTAGAAGCAGGCATTGGGTCTCCTGGAATTAGAGTTACAAATGACTATTACACTGGTGCTGGGAATCGAACCTAGGACCTCTGGAAGAGCAGCCAGTTCTCTCAATCAATGAGCCATCTTTCTAGTCCCATCTCAAAGTCTTTGGAAAGGAGTACCCTCATGGAAATCATGGTTCTTTACAACCACTGGATGATTTTGTGTAGTATGAGGTTTTTCCACTAGATGGGAACTACGTCATTCATTAAAGCAAGTTCCCCCAGCCCTCATTTATATTAGTTTTGTGACCTTTGATTCTTAAGCCTCCCTCCTCTCAGATGACTTTAGCTCCTGTCAAGTTGACATAAAACTAGAAGGCACACAAGGTCTCTCACTGTACCTAGAGCTCACCAATTCTTCAAGACCAGCTGATCAATCAGCTGCAGGGATCTGCCTGTTTCTCGCAAGAACTGGATTTCAGTCTTGAGCCACCATACCTGGCTTTTTACATGGGGTGCTGGGGATTTGAACTCAGGTCTTCATGCTTACACAGCAAGCACTTGCCTGCTGAGGCATCTCCTCGACTCCTTAATATTTATTTCCTATTTTAACTCTCGTGCAAGCAGAGAATCCACTACTACTACTACTGTAGATTCATATGAAACAGCATTTGCTCCAATGGGAATTAGGGCTAGTTTATTCTGAGCAAAATATGAATGGCGGTGACCTGCACACATGGATTCAGGGTGCATTGAATGATGCATTCTCTCAGGAAAGTGATTACATCATCTCTTGTGGTAGCAGAACAAAGACAGTCATGAATCAATGCATTTACCAAATGCACGGCTCAACAAAGCAGGGAAATTGGTTCTGTCGGTTTAGACACTATCTGATGACACACTCAGCTTCTGGATTGGCGAAGGCTAGATCTATCAAATGTAGTGATGCCTTCCAAGGGTTTATCTAAAAATGACAGGAATCCCAGGTCAGAGTCAGAGGGGGAGCAATCAGTAGTTATCAGGAGGACTAAAGACAGGCTCTCAATCTGCAACTCTCCACAGTCACCATGTTCTAATCAGTCAGAATTAAGAATCTTCAAGATAAGTGGGTGGGGCATTTCAGCTGACTTCAGTTCAAAGTACAAACATGCTTGAAAACTATTTATTCAGAGAGGACTACAGAAGCCATACAAATATTGGGGAAAGGTGAAACGGGTGTTATGGTGGACACAGGTTCTCCATGGACAAGTCGGGAGAGACTGGTTTCCTGAGATGCCCCAGTTTAGAAGAGTGATGGTGCCTCACCTTTGGCACCCTTTACTCTTATTATACTTCAAAGGAAAACACTGAAGGAAGAGGAAAAACCTATGTTCAGAGTTTGTGTTTGTGAGTGGCGCTGCCCCACACCCTAAGTCTCATTTTTAAAGCACTCTTACACTTATTCTAGCTTCCTAAAATATTTATTCACATTTTTTCCAGCTAGGCATGGTGGCACACACCTGTTATCCTAACACTTGGTCAGCAGCCCCAATAGGATGGTGGGCTAGGCTGCGCAGCAAGACACAAAAGCAAACAGCTGGAATTCCCTAGAGCAGGGAAGGAACACTATTTGAATGTTTGACTGGATTCATTGCATCGTGATACCTGCTGGCAATTTTAAAATAATCTCCTCTGTACTTCCCCTGATTCCTTGGCGTGATTTCTAGTCAATTATGAAGCTTTCTAAAATACCAACTACTTCAAAGTATTAACAGTGTAAGTTCTGAGACCTTATATGATCCCAGCATCCTTCAGTCTTAACTGTGATCTTATGTTCATCTCCAACTTTCCCCCAATTGCCTAAGGGATGTGCTGTGTTTCACACTCAGACTCCTGTGAGCTGAGGAGGCTTGGTCTGTGGCCCCAGCACCCATACCGCCTCCTCATTTAGGAGGTTTTATGGAAACAATCTTGCTCTCTTTTCATGAAAATGTACTTTCAGGAACATTTTAGAATTCTCTTTTGTAATGAAGGAGTGTGAACTACAACCACAAATGCTTCAGCCCTTCCCATCTGATAATGCACCCAGCTTTGAGTGCATGTTCATGTCAGAGGGGTGGGTTTCAGCTGGGCTGCCCCCAGTCATCTAGAAGATTCTGAAAGCATGAGAGCCAAGCCCGATGCTCAGACACTGGTCCAAGTTGGGTCTGGGTCCTGGGAGTTTTGTAATCTTCCTAAGTGACTTACTCCAATGTCAGGTTAAAACCTAGGACATTGAGCTACAAAACACACAGGGCTGTGTGCTGGTACTCTGGCCTGTTGCAAGCCTGGCTTACACTGGGGCATGTGAGTCTAATACCTTAGAGAGAAAAAGAATTGTGGTATTCTTGTGGCCTGTAACATAAAATCCTTTTGAGGAGGTCCTACTCATGCTCTCTATTCTATTCTATTCTATTCTATTCTATTCTATTCTATTCTATTCTATTCTATTCTATTCTATTCTATTCTATTCTTTCTATTCTATCATATTCTATATTAGAACAGACTTAATCTTTAATTCACTTAATATCAAAATTCAAGCCCATCATTGCCATGAATAGATTTCTTCCACAATATCTTATGCTAATCATCCTGTGTATTCTCTTATTAGATAAAAGTTGGAATTTATTCACCTCTTGTGACAAGCTCACTAAGGTAAGTTGTAATTTTATTCCCACCAGTGTTAGCATAAAGGAGTTACTGTACCTTCCTTAAGGAGGCATCGCCTAGCAACAGTGTTTCCATATGTCTTCCTCCATTTGAATTGATCTCCCATCTTTTGACATCTTTTTCTTTTTTCTGTCCCCCAAATACTCACTTATAGCTCAAAAAAGCCTCTCTCCTTCCTTAATACGGAGCTGTTTTTCTCATATTTTCAAATACAACCAGATATTTATCATTGTCCAAAATATGGGCCATGGTGATATTGTGGGAATGTCAAATGATATTTTACTTTCCCATAACTGTGATAGAGTGCCCTACTGAAAGGAACTTCAGGAAGGAAGGGTTTGTTGGCTTCCAGTTCCAGGTACAGACCATCATGCCAGAAAGTCTTAGCTGCAGCAACATGAAGCAGCTGATGTCATTCCATCCACAGCCCAAAAGAAAAGAGTGACAAATGCTCATTTCTTTTTCATGCAGTCTAGGATTCCAGCTTAGGGAATGGTGCCACCCAAAGAGGGCATCTCTTCCCATCTCCAGTGGCATAGCAAGATGCACCCTCCCAGGCATGCCCAAAGGTTAGTTTCTTAGTTGATTCTAGATCTTATCAAGTTGACAATCTGGATTAATCACCAAACGGTGCTATATTATTCCTGTTGTACCCTCTCCTTTTTCTATTTCCTCTTGTTGTTGGCTGTCTGGTGATGGCTTGAATGTTGGGCAGTCTCTTTCCCTTTCTGCACATACCTTCTACAGGCCCTGCTTTGTTTTGTATAATAAGAATGTCACTTTGGTTTTAATCCTTGAATTTTCCATCTACAGATAGGATATTAGCTTAAGCATTTAGTGAACTGACCTACAGACAGTGTTGAGGCAATCACTACCAACTGTTTTCTATACAAATTTGATTAAACATCTGCTCTCTACTCTCTCCTTTCTGTTTATTTTCTTTTCCAGTCATTTTCCCTCAGGCTCCTCTACGTTGCCCTCTCCCCCCACTTTGCCCCAGCCTAACCTCCTTTTGTCTATGTGTCAGTGATAACTGGGAGCCTTGGTTTAAAAACAAAGGAACAAACAAAATATTTAGTTTTCTTCAGAGTTTTATAGAGAACTTATTAAAAATTTTAGGGCTGCAGACATGGCTCAGCCTGAGCGAATATTATTTTTTAATCCTTAAAATTCCTATATAAAGCTAGACACAGTGGGACACACCTGTAATTCCATTGATGAGGTGGGTGTAGGAAACAGGGAGATCCCTGGAAACTGGTGGGCCTGCCTCTGTGGCAAAGTTCCAGGCCAATGAGATACCCTATCTCAATAGCGATGGAAAGCATTGGAGGACTGGCATCTGAGGTTGTTCTCAGACCTCCACATGTATGCCATGCACACACACATGTGCGAGCTGGACACATCCATTGAACCAGTTAAAATCAGAGGAAAAGTATTTTTCACATTAATGTCAAACAGCAACAAATAAAACAAGATGAATCAACAAAGAATAGAAACAGCATGACAATTTCTGGAACCTTCTTAGTTCCTCATGGTTCCAAGAGTTTCCATGTAGGCATAATGGCTGGAGCTTTGGCAGTTTTTCCTTGTGGATAAACCATCCTTTAGTTTTATATTCTTCAAGGCACTGCTTAATAAAAATGGCTAAGAGCATGAAAGCTAGTTATTTCCTCGGACTTATTATGTCCAAATTTAGTAAAGCTCAAGGAATGCTTTATTGTCTTCATTAATCATTAGTGATTGGGGTGATTCTGAATCCACTGAGAATCACAGTGTGCAGAGAAATAAATGAATTTACAGAGGAAAAATCTGGCTTAGACAAATGCTACCATTTATACTGTAGGTCCTATATACTGGAAATAATGAGTTGTGATCAATCATACTTTATTGCTAATTTTAAGTATAAGCAAATGTTAATTACAAAATCACTTGCCATGACATCATACGACTCTCCATTTCTAAATACTTTGCTTCGGCTCTGTATGATTCCTTGGACAATTAACTCTTCCAGGATGTCTGATGACTTTGGTCGCTCCCAACTTTCCAGGAGTTGGGGTTTATTGATTATTCCATTGGCCACTGGGTCTTCCAAAAGGAAAAGCATAAAGAAAGAGAGATTTAAGAATAAAGAGTTTATCACTCAAATGCTAAAATAAATTGGGCCTGGAGAGGTAGCTCTGTGGGTAAGAGAGCTTGTTGCAAAATCACAAGGACCCAAGTTCAAATCCTCAACACCCATGTAAAATGTCTGGCATAGTTATCATGCCTACAACCCCAACACTGTAGGGGGACAGGGGAGAGAAACAAGAGGACCATGAAGTTGCTGGGTCCAGCAAGAGACCCGAGATGGGGAGTGACAGAGAGGGACACGGGAACATCTTTGTCTAGCTTCATGTGCACTTGAACACATTCTAGGATACACAGTACACACATGCACTATCCTCATACAAACACATGCACACAGTAACTAATTTAAAAATGGGTACCTAATACAAGTCACTGAATCAAATCTTGTCTCAACACTTTTGTCTAAACATCTAGTTTCCTTTAAAATACCTCTATCATTTGTTTATTATATTATATATTATATATAAATATGTATTATTTATATATTTACTTTATGTGGGCGAGTGTATGCATGTGTGTCTGTGTGTCACTTTGTGAATGTAGAGGTCAGAGGAGAATCTGAGGGAGCTGGTTCTGTCCTTCCACCATGCGTGTTCCAAGGACTGAACTCAGGGTGGTCATGCCTGTCTCCACAGCCCCAGTATCTAGTTTCCATATCAAGCTCTGAAATTCTTTGAAGGTCAAGTTTTTGCTGCCTTTACAGAGCAAACACATCAGCATAATCTATTCTCTATGTAGTAGCCTCATCTGAGCAGTATCAAGTCCTGTCCCCATGCTGCTATGTACAGTCTCTTTGTTGTAACAACACTCACACACTTGGGTCAGATGACACTGCTTGCTCCACTAATTACAATGCTCTACTACAGCTGAGGCTGGAGACTCTTCTGAGCTGCAGCTTGGTTTCTATGCTTTGTATACAAACGGTAAACAGCACGAAGTTGCCAAGGGCTGTCTGGCTCTGCAACCCTGGTGTACAGTTTCACCATCTGCTAAATCTACCTAGGGAAAGCATGCCTTTTAGGAAGGAGCCCTTGAACAGGACCAGAACTGGAGCTACAGCACTATCAGCTAAGATCTCATTAATGATTTTAAAGATGAACCCTGGAGCCAGTTACAGGAGTGGATTTATGAACTGCACTCTTGAGGCAGGCCTCCACATTGCAAATCATCAATGCACAAAACAGCCACCTCCACACCATCAGATCATAAAATAAAGGGTGCAGGCTTGTTGGCCTAAAGATAGCTCTGCTTCCCAAGTCAGAAATGACACTGTGCAGAGCCCTCTGAAGTGAGCTCTCTTCAAAAAGTCTGCTGTGTTCAGTAGATGGAGCTGTGTTTCACAGCTGTTTCTAAACTCTGCAGTTACAAAGACAGCTTTCATGGGGTTTTGTGGTTTGAAAACATATGCAGAGATGGCACACATGCTGCCCAGCTGTTTCTCGTTTCAGACCATTAGTCCACCTGTCATGAAAGAGTGCTTGACTGAACATCACCTGGCATCAGTCAAGGGCCAACCAGTTCAGGACTTTTCAGGGCTGGCTCTTCAGCCTTGTAGGTGTGTGAAATGGAGCTCTGGGCTGGGTCTTATAGAATGTCCTCAAGCTGATCAGCAGTGGCACACACTTTTAATCCCAGCACTCATGAGGCAGAGGCAGGTGGATTTCTGTGAGTTTTAGGCCAACCTGGTCTACAAAGAAAGTTCCAGGACAGTCAGGACTGTTAAACAGAGAAACTCTATCTCAAAAAAACCAACCAACCAACCAACCAACCAACAAACAACAACAACAACAACAAAAGAAAGTGCTCAAACATACAACAAGGACATCTGTTCAACCATGTTCATAGCAGCATTATTTGTAATAGCCAGAAACTGGAAGCAGCCTAGATGCCCCTCAACTGAAGAATAGATAGAGAAATTGTGGTACATTTACACAATGGAGTACTACTCAGCAGAAAGAACAATGGAATCTTGAAATTTGCAGGAAAATGGATGGAACTTGAAGAAACCATTCTGAGGGAGGTAACCCAATCACAAAAAAAAACAAACATGATATGTACTCACTCATATGTGGACCTGCTTTATGATACATAGTAGTGACCGTGCTTTATCAGAGCTGTTTTTAATGATGTTGCTCAGAATGGTTTCCTTCCAGATGATGATTGAGAAGCTAATTAAAAAAATGGTGCTAGGTACCACAAGAGTAACAGAACTGTGCTGTTTTCTAGGATTTTGTTTTTTTTTTTTTAAATAGAGTGTGCTGGATGTCTCTACAATTTTGTTCAAATGACTGCAGAACCTGGAAAAGCTGTTGCTGCTATTGATGCATAACATATTGTTATTATTGGTCTTTTTATATAAATATAAACATATATAAATACATATATATATATATATATATATAATTTGAATTTTTGGAAACTTTAGCTGTGCTGTCAACTTTGGAAAAAAGTATCCCAGTTTACCATGTTGAGTGGGCATTGTACAGAAATTAACAGCCATATTGATCTAGAAATGTTGAACTTAATTTTTCCATTTGTACAGGGGTAACACACTATATTAAATATGTAAGGTCTTATCTACGTGGGTTTGATTACAAAAACTAATAAAGTATTCTCTAAATAAAAAAAAAGAAAGTGCTCAAACATGAAAGCAGACCGGAACCTTTGTAACATGAATGACAATTCAATGTACAGGTCACATGTAAACCCTTCAATGGAATCAGAATGATTTTATTGTCACTATTATTAAAAGGTGGGCTTTCCCAGAGTGGGGACACATGCCTGTAAACCTAGAACTTAGGAGGTGAAGGCAGGAGAATCAGGAAACTCATGCCAACCTTGGTTGTTTGAGACCCCATCTCAAAGCCCAAATGAAAACAAATGACTTTATACTCTGTATCATATTCACTTCAGACATAGATCTGTGAGAGCGGTGCTATTGTCTCTATTTTACCCATTGGCACACTGATAAGATAGGGGCTATTTGCTCCAGGAGATGAGACTAGTTAGAGTGGTAACCAGGACTGAATCAATTTCAACACCAAGTTCTCATCACTATTCTCTCTCCTAACTATGATATATAAGTAGCTGAACCACCAGTATTCCATCTCTCTCCCAGATGTTTCCAAAAGGATGCCACTAACATCAAGAAATGAATGTAACCATTCCAAGTCATCTTGTGAGTCTACTAAAGTATTTGGCTTAACCTATATAGTAACTACTGTAGACAGAGATTCTAAGGAAACTCATTCTCCTGTTTTCTTGAAACATTGGAGCATATTGGGGCCTGAGTTAAAAATAACCCGGTGTTTCGATTTTGTTATGTAGTACGTTCATGACTTCTGCCATTTCTGTGACCAAATAGCTGACAAAAAGCAACTTAAGGGAAGAAGGGCAGTTTACTTTGGCTCATAGTTGGGAGAAGTACAGTCATCTCAAAGATGAAGGCATAATATTGGGAGTAGCTTGGTCTGTGACACTGGCTGAGATGTGCAGACTGTGCTCTGGTGGCTATCCTTCCCCCTTTCCTCCATGACCTTAGCTCATGGATTGGTACCATCGACATCCACTGGGGGTCTCGTCTCCTCAGCTCATTCACTCTGAAACCTCATAGACTCAGCTGAGATGTGTCTGTCTCAGGCATGTCTTAGGTTTTTCTTAACCCAATCGAGTTGACAATTGAGACTAGCCATCATATGAAGGGGGTGCTCGGTTACCATAGTCAATTTAGAGAACATCAAAACACCCAAACTGGAGGAACAGTGTAGGAAACAAATGCTCAGAATATATCAAAGTCTAAAATATTGAGAAGGGGGCTGGGCAGCAGCTGAAGCACTTGCTGTGCAAGCATAGGGACTAGAGTTTGTACCCCAAGAACCCCAAAAGCTGGGTGACTGGTGACTACGATACTACACCTGGAATCCCAGCATTCAGGAAGCAAAGAAGGGACTCCATAGAGCCATATGGCTAGTTAAAGTAGTAAGCTCTGGCTTTCCCTATAAGGGAGGTATCAATTGAAGAAGATACCTGATGTCATCCCTAAGTCTCTATATACACACATGCACCTGTATATATTCACTCACACACACACACACACACACACACACACACACTATTTTATCAGCTAGATCTTCTAGAACTGGAGGCACAAGCATTTGTGAGTTACCTGAAATGGGTGCTGTGAATAAACCTAGGTCCTCTGTACCAGCAATAAGCCCTTATAACCACTAAGTCAACACTCTGGCCCCTATCCCAGCTATTTTCCAATCTTAACTTGTAGTGAGAGAAGGAACAACAGGGATGTGGAATAAAAGTTTCCCCTAAGCTAAAACAATGTTCTTTCCCTCCAGATCTGCGCTGTTCACTTTGTTCCAAAGGCAGAGCAACTATAAATAAGATGTCATCACTCAACAGCAAGGAAGAGCTCAAAGGAAGGGAAACCACAGCATTGCATCAGAAGGGCCACAAATAGTTTTTCAAATAGCACACCAGACCATAATTACTTCTTTTATGTTTTTACTGTGTATTCGCTCATGTTGTCGATGGGGAGAGGGAGGAGGACAGTTTAATGAAGGTTTTATTTATTCTTACAAATGTAAACCTTTCCCTTAAGAAGATGACAACACAGTGGGGGCATACATTCCCTTAAGCCATGTCACTTCTACTCCTGAAATGTGTTTCCAATTCTCAACAAGGGCTCTTGCTGTTGCTGTTGTTTTAAGATGGCTTTAATTACTTCATCCACAAGATTAATGGCTAACATTATTTACTCATATGATAAAGGCCTAAGACTAAATGCTAATGTCTTAGAGATAAGAATCTCACCACTTGTAGGTACACTAAGACCCTACAAGAAGTGATCAGTGGGCCATCAGATAACTATACCATGTATTTAGAGGTCTACCAGATATCTAGTGGAGAGCAACAAGAACAGAGGCAAAGGTTACCTGAATTTACTCGACCATTTGTTTTACTTGGAGGTGGATAACTTTCTGGAATAGTCCCAGGCAAGTTTCCCATCTGGGCTTGTTGGTACAGACTTTCAGCATCATCTACAATGTCCTTGACCCATGCAGCTTCAGTTTGGGGGCTGCAATTCTCTTTGGAAGAAGTCACTCTGACATCAGCCTGTGAAAAGAGAACAGTTTGGTAAGATTTCTTAGGAAAATAGGAACAATATAACAGGGTTTGCTTTGAGAGCACTTACCAATTAGTGTCTGCAGTAGTCTGATTAGTAATGATAGCCTATGGATGCTATGTTACATAGCAAAGTGACCTAGCAGATGTGATTAAGCAATGCTTTCAAGATGGTTGGGCTATTGTAATTATTCACTCGAACCCCAGATGCAATCACAATTGCAGGGAAAGGGTTATGTTTTGAATATAAAATGTCTCTAAAGGTTCATGTATTAAGGCTTGGTCCCCAGCTGGTACCCCTGTTGAGAGGTGATTGGATCATGAGGATGATAATCTCACCAATGCAATGACTCCTTGATGAGCCATAGCTGAATGGGATTAGGGTGTGATGCATGGTTAGAGGTCATTGAGGGGTATCTTGTCTCTAGATCCCCCCACTCTCTAGCTCTCTCTATTTCCTATTTGCAATAAGATAAGAAATATTGCTCTCTCAATCTCTCTGTCATTGTGCTTTGCCTCACGGCAAGGGACCAAGGACCCACGGATTGAAACCTCTGAAACTTCTAGTAAAAATAAACCCTTCCCACTTTAAGTCATTTATCTCACGCATTTTTGTCATAGCAACAGAAAACTTACTAACATGGAAAGTTATTGATACTGAGAAGTCGGCTCATTACTGTGACTTCTGATTGTGTTGTTGAGAACCTTATGGAACTGGATTATGGGAGAAACTTGGAAAAGTTTGGAGATAGAGGCTAGAGAAGTCCTAGAATGCTGTAAGCAAAGTTCAGTGGGAAATCATGAAGGGTGCTCAGAAGTCCAGAATACCAATAGAAATGCTGATAGTAAAAACGGTTGCCATGAGGCTTCAAATGGAAATGACGACTCTATTGGGGATTGGACAAGGGGCCAAGAGTTTAAATTCTGGCAAAGGACTCTACATTCCATTCTGAGAGTTTGTGTAAGGCCAAATTTCAAGTTGACAAACTAATCTGCTAGAAAACATGCAAGGGAATAAAATATTGACATTGTGGCATGGATATTTGTAGCATGGGTTCTAATAGGTCTTAGTAATAAAAGGCCTGGAGTCAGACATTAGGGGGTGAAATCTGAATGATCAGAGAAGCAGAGCAGCCAGACACTAGAGTGTCTCGCCTTCTCAAAATCCTCAGATTGAAAAGAGACCAAGTTCCTGTCTCCTCCCACCTATGTTCCTCTCTCTGCCTAGCCATCTCACTTCCTGTCTATCTGTACAGATCTCCAGACCTCTATGGTTAGCTAGTGGCTAGCTCTGACCTCTGATATTCAGGCAAGCTTCATTTGCTAGAGTATAAACAAAATACTACCACAGATAATGCTAACGTCTTTTAGCCCAATTTACAGTGAAACCTGGTAGCAAAAATCAGAGCAAAGAGCATATAAAAAAACTTGTGATATGGACAGAAAAGGACTAAGTTTGTGTTTGGTAAGGACCACTACTTGACATTGAGATAATAGGAAGAGTACCTGGAAACCATCAGGAACTGGCCTGGTGGCATCCATCCATATAATGGTTCATTATAACTATTGGAAAGACTGTTTTCAAACGAGAGCTCTAGAGACCCTGCCTATACACAGCTACCTGAAAAGCATTTTTTTTCCTGTGTGTAGTTATCCATGGATACAGGCATCAAAGGGTATTTCCAAGGAGACCTGGGTACTTCGCCCTGGGAACAGTCCTTAACATCACTCACATGATGCTAGTTCTCCAGGCATCTAGAATTTAAGACAATGGGATGGTGGAGGCTTCCACCAAGATTACTAAGGAAAGCTTAGGGAGCCGGGCAGTTGTGCGCCAGAGTTAACATGCTTGCAGGTGTGCCTCTGAAAGGGCACAGTGAGAAGCTGTGAGGGTGAAGCCTATACTGTAGTGGAGACCACTGGATGTCAGGAAAACACTAACAAGGAACGTGTGCTGAGGAAATTCCTGCTAGCATCATAGGCAGCTGGGGAAAGCACTTTGGGCTTTGGCCAACAAAGCTGTGGGGGTTGGGCTGCCCAAGTCCTTGAGGTCCACATCTTGCCACCACATGTGTCTGATGTCCAACCTGAAGAAGAGGAGTTCAAGTCTGGTTTGGCCCCTTCCTTCCCATTCTTCTCTTTGGAACAAAAATGTTCAATCAGTGGGATTGCACATTAGAAGTATATAATTTTATCATTTTCTTTTATTTTTATCATTACTAGAGAACAAATTTGGAGTCTTGTATGTGAGTTGTAGGCAAATGTAATACCACTGAGCTACATCCCAAGGTTATGTAATTTTTATGTGGACTCAGATTTAAGGGCTTGAGGGAAGTCTTAGTCTAACCCAAAGGGAGGGACTGCTAAATACAAGTCACCATTCTGAGCCTTACTGGGGGTACCAAGATGAACAAATTCACAATCATCCATCAGGGGTGAAACAAGAGATACCACTGTTTTAAAAAAGAGTATTTTTTAAATACTGGTTTTGTAGTTCAACATGAAAAAAAAAACATTGAAATAACCAAATAATAAAGAAGACAACTGATAGTCAAATCTGTATCAACCGGTCTAGGTTGGAATAGCCAGTTTTTCAGTCAAACTGCAATCTAAGTATCACAGCAAAGGTATTTTGCAGATATAATTGCATTTACAGCCAATTGACCTAAAGCAGAAGAGACTCCTTAAACCATCTGGGTAGGTCTCTGCTAACAGTTTAAAGCCTTCTGGAGTACACCTGATGTCTATCTGAAGGAGAAGAAATTGTGCCTATGGACTGCAGTTTCATCTCTAGCCTGCCCTTTCTTGTCCCAGCCTATAGAGTTTGGACATGGCTGTCCAGTCCCATGTAGGTATTCCTTTGTCATACATTTATCTTTCCACCTACCAACCCACCCAACCACTTATTCCACCATTCATCCGATTGGGTCTGTTCCTCTGGTAGCATCCTGACTGATATAGAGACTCGGTAGAAGATGATAAGTGCCACCCCCTGGACAGAAGCATTATTAACATGTTGGCATTATGACCTTCTTAGTGGATTTGCTCATATAATATTTTAAAAAGGTAAATTAGAATTTGCCAAAAAGTCAATGAAAAGAAATTCGGAATCGTGCGGTTATTGGGGAGCTACAAAATAATAATAATAAAAAAATTATGAAATGCTTCACACCCACAAGGCAACTACAGTGAAAAAGGTGGTGGTGAGTGTGTAGGGAAGCTGGAGCGTACTTAACTGCGCTTCTACTCTGGAGAAGAATTGAAGAGTTCCTGCAGAAAGTTAATCACGGAGTATCTGCAAGATCTGGAAACTCCACTCCTGGGCTTATACACTAGCAAAGTGAAAATAATGTTCAGCTCAAAACCTGCACATGGTACCTATAATTACTATTCATAATGTTCAGAAAGTGGAAACAAATCAACTCAAATATCTATCAACTGATGATTAGGGAAACGAAATGTAGTGTAATCATGCAAAATATTATTTAACAATAAAAGGAAATTAAATACTGACACATGTCATAACATAGACATTTTAAAACTTCCTTAAATGAGAGAAGCCAGTCACAAAGACTATTCATGCTCAGACCAGGTGAACTCAGAGTCAGAGTTCACTGTGGCAGGCAAGAAGATAGGGTGAGTGGGAGGATTGGCCACTCATAGGTCATTGTTTCTTTGGGGAGGGATGTACTAAAAGTAAGTGACATAAATGGCTGTCACTTGCATATTATAAGGGTGAACTGTATAGTGCATGATCATACTACAATTAAAATGCTATTAAAATAAACTAGATCAGATTCTCTGTGATTTGTATAATACATTTTCCCCATTGATGATACAGTAGAGATTCGACCTCATTCTATTTAATGGTGAAGAGTGGTTGCGGATGAACAATGGTGTGAGTTCATTACATAGTTCACCATGTAGCCATATCATACTTTATTTAGTCCATTCCTGGGCACTTCTAATTTTTCAGTATTGTAAGCCAGGCTAGAATTATTCTTGTTCATATACATATTTATTAACTGATTCAATCATTTTGTGACAGTTCCTAGATGCACGCATTCTAACTGAAAGGCTATGCATGTTCAATACTGTAGATACTTCCAGAAGATTCTTCATAAGCGCTGTGCCAACTCGTAAACCCTGCTGCATTGCTTATATAGTCTGAAAGCTACTGACACAAGACACTGGTCCCTGATCTCACAGAAAGGAAGGAAACTGTAAGGGGTTTTCCTTCCACCTGCCCATCGTTATGGCATCATCATCAACATTGAGAAAGAAGATTCCGGAGAAGAGCTGTCTTAGTTGGGACAACTTTTGTTGTGACAAAACACTATGACCAAAGCAAGTTGGGGAGTAAAGGGTTTATTTGGCTCACACTTCCATATCACTGTTCATCATTAAACAAAATCAGGGCTCAGAGTCATCAGACGCAAGCAACCTGCATGCCATATGGAGTTAGGAGCGGAATCTGACACCCCGAGGCCCGGTGACAGCTCTGCCTCCAACTACCGCCCGGTGAGACCCAGCACGCCCAAACACTGCTGACACCTGGGTAACAGTGACACCTCCATCCACGAGAAGAGGACAGACATTAGAGTATTGGATCTGTTTGCATCTACCAGAAGGGAAACGTGGTCCCACACCCACCACT